TGGATTGTCGTGTATATGTATAAATGCTTGGGTAGTACGATTGTGCATTCGTGTGTGTTGATTGTGCAACCTAGTGTTGTAAGTTGTGCACTATAGGCTATAGAGTTGTGCATTATAGCACATAGTTCAGTGCATCGTAGGACATTGGGATGTCCACTGTATGATTTTTTGGCGGGGTTTGAATGTACAATAATAAAGTTATCGATGCACAACACTCAGTTTAGGAATGCACAACATTTTGTATAGGAATGCACATCTTTTAATAAGACTGATTTACCCTAAATTTATATATTTTAATATTTTAAAGGGATTTATTTTCTTAATCCGTGTGATTTGTTCTTTTTAATCTCAGTCATACATCATTATGATTTAATGGTCAAGATTAGTCCTTACGTCCTCACGTAAGATAACGTAAGATTAGGTTATCGATGCACAACACTCAGTTTAGGAATGCACAACATTTTGTATAGTAATGCACATTCTTAATCCGTTGTGCACTATTGTGCATTGATCGAATGCTATCTGACGGTCCAAAATAAACCATACTTCCATAGCGATGGTCCGTCACTTAGAGTGGGCATTGCGCATTCTAGGTATTTCGTTTTGTTTTTGATTGGCTTGAATTTCAAAGTCGAATCTCTGTTTTTGTTATCCGAGGATTACGGCTTGTAAAGCTCATCTAGCGAACTGGTATGGCTGCTGCACCAAGACGATGGAGGTGCACCACCGTGATATCCCGATCGGGGCCACGGACGATACTCAATTATCAGGTTTTGGTTTTGTGGTTCTTTTTCTCTTTCGGTAGCATGGCATTTGAGTTGGAGGTATCCACTGCACTCCTCCCCCGTGTGCATTTGCGTCGGTGGTTTCCATTAGGCCGTAATAGTGCATCCCTATTGTGTAGTGTTCCTTGGCACAACATTTTTTCGTGGTTCCACTGTCTGTGCATCGTGCGTCATGTGGTAGCAGTGCACACACGAGGCCCATGTGGTGCTCGTAATAGTGTCCTTTATGCGCCCGTGCATTGGTGGCCGTGGTAACCATTACCAAATCGGGCGCATGGAGACGTTGTTGCACGCCTGCGAAGTGCTCGAACTCATGGAACTGTTTGAACCCCGTGCAACGAGTCGCCTCGACTTGCCGGTGCACTTCCTTTGCGGAGCGTCGTTTCTGCGTGTGCATGCTAGCGTTGGCGTTCTTGACGGTGATGCATGAGTACAATGCACGGTAGTAAGATTTGTGTTTTCTAATACTGTTTTCTTTAGGCTTAGTTATTTCCCAAAGCAGAATATGAGTTTTTGATATTATACTTTTACTAGTATTAAACCAATACAATCCAGTTCCCAAGTGCATAATGTAGGGGCTCTAGGAATATAGTTAATAAACTTTAATCTTACTGTGTAATTTAGTATGCACTGGGTGCATGTGTGGAATTACTTCTGTGCAGTAGTTCATTGAGAGAACCCATGTGTAATGTAGGATTCACAACGTGCATCTGTAGAATTACTTCTGTGCATTAGTTCATTGAGAGAACCCATGTGCATGCTAGCGTTTGCGTTCTTGACGGTGATGCATGAGTTCAATGCACCGCAGTTTTAATGGTTGGGCTGGGAGGGGTATGTGTGTGGCATGTTTTTTTTTTTTTTTTTTTTTTTTGGGGGGGGGGTGGGGTTTTGTGGTGACAGTGAGTATGTATGGTCTGACCATTCTAATGCACGAAGCTATTTTTGTTAGATTTGTGTTTTCTAGAATGCTTGCTAGCTTCCTGGTACTTCACGTTTTGTTTCAAAAAATGGACTTGGTCTACCGGTATATGTTTTTGGTGTTCAAGAATGCACATGTCGAGACCATCCCGACCCAATACATTGTGGGTCGTTGGTGCAAACAAGTCATAGTGTTGGGGCCATGAATAATGTTGGGATGTTTTTTAACATTAGTACATTAAAGTATTAAACTAGTTATTTGCATTGCACGGCATAGTTTGGGAATATGATGTTGGATAGGTTTTTTATTTATGTTCCAAATATTCTTGGAAATAGGGTTCTATATGTTACGTTGCTACAGTTTAGTATGGTTGTCCGACCTACTTATTGTTTTATGCTATATATGCTTGTTAGCGTACAATGTAATAACATATATCCATTTTCTTGTTGAAACTATAAGTATATATCTAGTATTTCACCTCATACATAGCTTGAAAATATAAAGCTACTTTTACATTTTACATGTGGCTGTGTTATCAAGATTTAGTGTTGTGCTATCTATGTTCATATTTCATAATACGTATAATACCCACCATTATTCTATCAAAAGAGTAATTGTAAACTTTTGATGAAGAGCTAATTCGAGAAATGGTTCAAAAGATGAAAAGAAAATTGGTCTGGTAAAAGTAATTACAAAGAGTAATTGTAAGTCATCCATTCCTCTCGTAGGTTCACAAATTTTTCTCTCTTGCCGTCGTGCAAGCATCTAGGGTTTTGTGTTTTCACTGGTTTTTTCGCCGTTCATTATGGCGGTTTCCGGAGTCGCTGATATGTACGCTAACCTTACGTTGGCGGATGTCGATGATGAAGATGTGTCTGTGCAGCAAAGTGTTCCGATCAGCCAGACTGAGAAGGAAGAGGAGTATTACGCTGTTGGAAGGCTGGTTACGGATAAGCCAATTAAGTTCCAATTTTTTCAGGATACGATAGCGGGGGTTTGGCGGCCGGGATACGGAGTTAATATGAGTCAACTCCATACCCATCGTTTCTTGATCCGATTCTATGATGAGGATGACTTAGAAAAAATTTTGGATGATGGACCCTGGAGCTTTGAGCAGAATCTGTTGGTGTTGCATAAACTCATTTCGAATGAGGATCCAGAGACAATTCCCCTACAACGTGTTGAGTTCTGGATTGAAATTCATAACTTGCCGTCAGGTTTTAGAACGGAGGCTATTGTGGCTGCTATTGGTTCCTTCTTGGGGGTGTTGATAAAGGCTATCGAAAGAAATTTTGATGGTTCCATGCACTTGATCTACCATGTACGTGTTTCCATCGATGTGGCTAAGCCTTTGAGAAAATAGATGAAACTCAAACGTGATAATGATGCCCGGGCAGTGATTGACTTCAAGTATGAATGCCTCCCCACCTTTTGCTTTATTTGTGGTGTCATAGGGCATGGGGACAAGTTATGTCAGAAAGTCAAGCGGGGATCTGGTTTGGTTATTGATAAACTCTATGGTGCCTGGCTTCACGCGAGTCAGCGTGGGGTGGTTACATCGACAGGTCAGCGTTAGGTTGCCCCAGTAACAACCGTTGAACGTAAAAATTGGATTCCACCTGCATGTGAAGGGGACGTGGGGTGTAGTGCTGATAACCCAGTTCTAACTACTGATCAGGGACGGACTACCACCGTTACTGAGTTAGTTTGTGTAGAGCAGAAAAAACGTAGATTGGAGGATGAAGTGGGAGCTGGTACTGCGGTCACTATAATGGATTTTGAAACAACTAGTTCAAAAAACTTGGTTCAGGAGGGTTTTCATGAGTATCTTATTCTGGAATTGCCAGGGGCTTGGCAACCCGACGGCAGTTCAAGTGTTAGCGGATTTGATCCGTACCAAGAGGCCGAAGTTGTTATTTCTAATGGAAACTTTTTTAAATAGACTGCGCATGGAACCGATTCGTAGACAGTTGGGGTTTGCTAGTATGCTGTGTGTTGATGCTCAGGGGCATAGAGGTGGGTTGGCGCTCATGTGGACTGATTATGTTGAAGTGGAAGTGACGAGCTACTCAAATAATCACATAGATGCTACGGTGGTGTTAGATGTAGGAAGTCCTGAATGGCGTTTTACGGGGTATTATGGTTTTCCTAAAAGGCATCGTAGATGTGACTCATGGAATCTCTTGCGCACTCTTGTTGGGCTCAGTACATTACCATGGGTGGTGATGGGCGACCTAAATGATCTGCTTTGTCAGACTGAGAAACGAGTGAAAAAAATATAAGGAGCAACACACACAGTAATGTTGTAACGTATGTTTGTAACACCAGGAAATTGTAACGCAGTTTGGGCGAAAACCCTAATCTGCGAGGCACTTCTCAAATTGAAAATTAACCTAAATTCACTATGAGCAATTTCAAAAGTACAGAGTATAGGAAGAAGAAAACTTTACACAATAGATCTCACAAACTCTCATAATCTATTGTAACCTAAACTCTCGTACTACTCCAAAGTGATAGACTCTCTTTCTCTCAATATATCTGTATGCACTCGGTCAGATGATTCGGGTAAAATCGCTGCTTCTATTCTTCTAAGAGTCTTTCTTAAATAGGTGATACTTGATCATAATCCTAGTTGAAGTATAAGTCCCAATTAGATTAGGATTTGAATGATGCTTGTAGTTTGACTGGGAGACAATTGAATCTGTGTTTTCAATTATCCTTTTTGCCAATAATATTTTTGACAATTCTTTATTCAACAATCTCCCCCTTTTGTCAATATTTTTGGCAAAAACCTTGATTCTTGATTTTCTTGAATATCTCCCCCTTAGTCCTTGCTGTCTAGTAGTCTGCTTATCACAATCTTCAAGTGGTAGTTTTGATTTGAAGTGATTGGTGATAGTGTCAAGTCTTTAAACTGTCTTAGTCCAAGGATTAGTAACCTAGGCAGTTTTTCCTAATAATGCACATAGTCATTTGCTATTGCAATTACATTAGCATGCTATTTTGATAGTAAGACAGAACACAAAAAATAGTCTTTCTAATGATGCACATAGTCATTTGCTATTGCAGTTACATTAGCATGCTACTTTAATAGTAAGACAGAACACAAAAGATAGGCAGATGTCAAAAAGATTGTCTTGGCAGTATCAGTATCAAAAAAAGGCATAATAGTAAGCAGTCATCATCATAATAGTAAGCAGTCATCATCATCAGGATTCATCTCCCCCTGTTTTTGACAAAAACATTTGACAAGTTCAGTCTGAGTCAGAGGATGTTGCTTCTGGGGTTCTAACAGCCTATTCTTCTTCTTGGCTTCCTTCTTGATTTTCTGCATCATCTTCTTGGGACTTTTCAGTCTCTCCTTCAGATTCTTCTTCATCAGCATTTACTTCTTGGGATTTTTCAGCTTCCTTATCAGGCTCTTCTTCATTATTTTCTCCTAAGGCTGTAAGCCATTTGAGTACTTCAACTTTCTCTTCTTGGATTTCCAACTGTCTCTGCTTTATGTACCTTTCAGATGTATTAAGCTCATTGAGTTTTTTCTGGAAGTATTTTTGAAGCATATCAGTGTTCATGGGGTTATCTTCTGGACTTGTGGTTTTCAGGTCATTTTGATGAAATCCCTTTTTCAGTTTAATAGACACATTCAGGGTTTTGATCTGTTGGAGCTTCTTCTTGGTAGTCTTCAGTCCTTGTTTGGTGAGGATTGTTTGGATTAGGTTTGGAGAGATTAGAGAGGCTTTGAGAGATTTGATTTCAGCTAGATTCATGATTTGTTGATGTACCAGTTCTCCATAGCTGATTTTGATCTTTTTCCCAACTTTGTATAATAATTCTGCCAAGCTCCATTTCACAGTGTTCTCATGTAAGGAAGGCATCCAGTTTGCCAGAGCTATTTTCTGTAGGATTGCATATTTGCTTGTCAGGCAGGCAGCTTTGATCTTCTTCTTTTCAAGGACTACATTTCCTGCTGTGATCTCCTGGGCTATGATGTCCCCATTATGATCGAATTGATCATCTTGTTCAAAGGTGTTGTAGCAGGTGTTTATAACATCTGGGGAAAAGTCATAGTACTTTCCTCTTAGGTAAATTTTTCCATACAAAGGACTTGATGGGACTGATGATTCCTTTTTGAGATTGCTATAAAATTCATGAATCATTTTTTCTTCAAATGGTTCAATCTTTGTGACTGTGTCAAGCAACTTTCCTTGAGCTAGGAGTTCTATGATGTGTTCTCCATCTTTAAGGTTCTCCAGATTGACCAGCTTTTGAGGGATGATTTTTCGTTGTGAGGTTTTGTGCCACAGATTGCTTGAAGCTTTATCCTAGAACTGGTTGTTGAGAGGTTGTGGCAGATCAGATGTTGGAAGTGTGGTTTCAACATCTATTTCTGCTGTTTGTTTTCCCTTTTCCTTTGATGTGAACTTCCTTCGTGATTTGCCCTGATTCTTTGAGACATTTACCTGGGGCTTTTTGGACCTTTCATTCTGGCATTCTTTACTATTTTCCCAGGCATCATCAACTTCTTTTTGTTTTCTTTTAGCAGTCCTAGTCATCCTTGGAGGTGGGATGTTAGGTGTCCTTCTTGGAGGCCCCACAGATATTGGAAAATCACATGGTCTTTTAGCTCTGGGGTCAGCTCCTTCATACGGATCCACTCTTCTTCTTTTTCTTAGGAATTCATCAGGATTAGTTTCATTTGGGCTTGTTTCGTGCCTTCTTCTCTTAATTCAGTAGAAATATTGTCTAGCTCTTTTTCAAAGCTGTCAACTGTGTCTGAATTTGTAACCCTAATTTCTGGGTTAGATTCTGATTCCCTAATTTCTTCCTCATTTGTAGGGAGTTTTTCTTGTGGCACTAAGTTTTCACTTTGTTGGTGTATGATTTTGTCTAGGTCAACTATCAATTCCCCAAATATACCCTCTGAACCAGTCGGTTCTGTTTCTGCAATCGGGTTTGATTCTGCAAGTGGGTTATCATCTAGGGGTGATTCGAGAGGGGGAGATGAGTTACCAGGTTGAGAGTAGATGTCTTCGAAAGGTATCTGCGTGATTGGTACTGGATCCATGACTATATCCTTCGAGTGTTGTGGCTGATCGAGTGGAGAATCTTTGCTGATGGCAGGGGTTCCTCGTCGTGGTGGCCGACGGGATGATTTCTTTCCTTTCGGCATCTTGGAACCTCTTGATTTCTTCATAGTTCTGAGATTGGTGAGTGATGAAGAAGATGATCGACAGGAGTGGTGGTCGTGGATGGCGATAGTGGTGGTGATCGTGGATGGTGATGGACAGAACAGAGGAGTGAGATTGCAATCGGACCCGGAAGTGATATTTTGGATTTTGAACCGGATTCATAACATGGGCTATTGGGCTGAGATCCGGATTCAGATTATGGCATTCATGGGTTGGCCCGGTTTGTCATTCGTAAGCTTCCTTCTCTTTTTTTTATTTTTTTTTTATTTTATTTTTTTTATTTTTTTATAAATAATATATGAAAAAAAACTATTATATAAAACAAGAGAAAGAGTAGAGTTTAGTTAATTCTACACAGTCCAATTTCAGACCTTAGTCTTGTGAATTTATTTCCGTCCAATCCTTTTGTCATTATGTCTGCAAGTTGATTTTCTGTGTTGATGTGCCTCATGATAATGATTTCTTCCTCTACTAGTTCTCTGATGAAGTGATGTCGTATGTCAATGTGTTTAGTACGTGAGTGTTGGACTGGATTTTTTGAAATATCTATGGCACTTTTGTTGTCACAATATACTGTTATTTTTGCTTGACTGATTCCATAGTCTTCTAGCATTTGTTTCATCCATAACAATTGAGTGCAACAGCTTCCAGCAGCTATATATTCAGCTTCTGCAGTTGATAGTGATATTGAATTTTGTTTTTTACTTATCCAAGAGACTAGATTCGTTCCAAGTAAGAAACATCCTCCAGTAGTACTTTTTCTGTCATCCATGTTGCCTGCCCAGTCTGCATCGCAGTATGCTGATAGATATTTGTTTGTGTCAAAAGAGTAACATATTCCTAGATCAGATGTTCCTTTGATGTACTTGATAATTCTCTTCACAGTTTTCATGTGTGATTCTTTAGGAGATGATTGATATCTGGCGCATATGCCTACTGCGTAGCAAATGTCTAGTCTACTGGCAGTTAAATATAGTAGACTACCAATTATGCTATGATATAGTTTTTGTTCTACATCTTTTGCTTCTGTATCTTTGGCAATTTTGTCTGATGTTGCAATAGGTGTTCTGGCAACTTTGCTTTCTTTTAGACCGAATCTGTTGACAAGATTGTTTGCATACTTACTTTGTGAGATGAAGATTCCTTCTTCCAGTTGTTTTATTTGCAGACCTAGAAAGTAGCTGAGCTCTCCAACCATGCTCATTTCAAATTCGCTTTTCATGTGACGAATGAATTCATCTTTGTAGGTCTCTCTGGATGATCCAAATACTATATCATCAACATAGATTTGTGCTATGATGATGTCACTTTTATAGTGTTTGACAAATAATGTTTTGTCAACGCTTCCTCTATTGTACCCTTTTGAGAGTAGGAATTGTGTTAACCTTTCATACCAAGCCCGTGGAGCTTGTTTTAAACCATATAAGGCTCTCTTTAGTCTATAGACATGGTTAGGATGGAATGGATCTTCAAACCCTTTGGGTTGGGATACGTACACTTCCTCTTTTATATATCCATTCAGGAATGCTGTTTTCACGTCTATTTGGTAAAGTTTGATTTTTAGGATGCATGCTACGGCGAGGAGAAGGCATATGGATTCTATCCTAGCAACTGGGGCAAAGGTTTCTTGAAAGTCGATTCCTTCTTCTTGAGTGTATCCTTGTGCAACAAGTCGGGCTTTATTTCTCACTATATTTTCCCTTTCATCAGTTTTATTTTTGTAGATCCATTTTGTTCCTATGATGTTAAAGTTGTCTGGTGCAGGGACAAGTTCCCATACTTCATTTCTTTCGAATTGTTATAGCTCTCCTTGCATGGCTTCGATCCAGTATTCGTCAAGGAGGGCCTGCTCGATGTTTTTTGGTTCTATCTTTGAAGTGTAGCATGAATCTCCTTAAGACATTTTGAGGTAATCTCTTTTCTTTCCTCTTGTCCGTATTCCCTGATTTGGGTCACCGATGATATTTTCTGTAGGATGATTCTTCTGGATTTTAGTGTTCTTGTTGATGGGTGCTTCATCGATATTTTCTTCATCATCTTCTGTTGGTTTTCCAGAATTATCATCTTGTTCTGACTCTATAGGTGGTGTTGAAACTTCTGTTTCAACACTTATGGTTTGCTCATCATCATCATCTTTGACTTCTGTTGAATCTATGTCAGTGAATGACACATTGATGGATTCCATTACACTTTGAGTTCTAAGATTGTAAACTCGAAATGCCCTGCTGTTAGTAGAGTATCCTAGGAAAAAACCTTGATCACCTTTGATGTCGAATTTCCCCAATTGTTCTCGGTCTCTTAAGATATAACATGTGCTACCAAATATGTGTATGTGTTTGAGGTTGGGAATTTTTCCTTTCCATATTTGGTATGGTGTCATATTTATCTCTTTCCGTATGTATACCCGGTTGATTAGATAACAGGCTGTACTTACAGCTTCAGCCCAAAACTTTTGAGGAATCCTTTTGTGATTTAGCAATACCCTTGCCATTTCTTGTATAGTTCTATTTTTCCGTTCCACTATTCCATTTTGCTGCGGTGTTTTAGGGGCTGAAAATTCGTGGTGTATTCCTTTTTCGTCGCAAAAATCTTTGAAGTACGAATTTTCGAATTCTCTTCCATGATCACTTCTTAACCGTAAGATTTTTCCTATTTTTCCTTCTTTTTCAGTTTCAATTTTATTGATGAGAATTTTGAAGCTTTTGAAGGTGTCCGATTTTTCTCTGAGGAACATGACCCATGTAAAACGTGAGTAATCGTCTACTGTTACATGTACGTACCGTTTTCCTCCTATGCTTTCAACTTGAGTTGGACCAAAAAGATCCATGTGTGCAAGAGTTCCATAATTCTTGTGGTGTGGATTCCTGATATCTTCTTGTGGGTTTTTCTTGTTAGTTTGTTCTCAAGACATGTTCCACAGGCTTTGTTTTCGTTTATTTCCAGTTGTCGTGGTAAGCCTCGATATGCCCCTATTTTTATCCCTTTCTTCATGTCATGGAAGTTTATGTGTCCCATTCGTTGATGCCAAATTTGTGCTTCAGTTTCTTTGGAAAGATGACAGGTAAGTTGGTTTGTCCAGACGTAGCATTTGTCTGATGATCTATTTCCTTGCATCACACATTGATTGTTTTGGTCATATACATGACAACTGTCTTTGGAGAATTTTACTTGTAGATTATCATCGCATAGTTGACTAATACTGATTAGGTTTGCCTTAAGTCCTTTTACCAAGAAGACTTGAGTAAGTTGTGGTAAACCGGTTACATTTAATGTTCCGCTTCCAATAATTTGGCCTTTTCCTCCATCTCCAAATGTAACATGTCCTCCTTCTTTTGGTAGTATGTTGATCAGATGTTCTGATTTCCCAGTCATGTGATGTGAGCATCCACTATCAAAGTACCAGATTTCCGTATTCTTTTCTGTTTTGGAGGTGAGGGCAACTGTTTGTGTTTGATTTTTCCTGACCCATACCTTTCTGGTTTGTGATTGTCTCCTCATAATATAATTTTGTCTAAACCAGCAGTGTGCTTTAATATGACCTGGTTTGTGGCAATAATAGCACCTGATCCTTCGATGTTGGAAACGTTGTTGAAACATCTCTGGATTTTCTGATTGTCTTTCATTAGTATGTTCAGTTTCCTGGGAGTTTTCTCTCTGGAATTTTTCTTTCTCTATAAGATCTTTTTCTTTTTCTTGAAGTTTCTTCAGTTCCTTTTTTGTTTCCTGATGATCTCGTATTTCTCTTTCCTTTTACTTTGTAAATCACGGTTCTTTTGCATGAGCTCCGTATTAACCCTAATAAGTTCTTGCCATTTTGATTGTAATACTGTGTATGCTTCGAATAACCCTTGAATGTCCTCTTGGGTAGTGTCTTCCTCTTCTTGTCTAGTGGTGAAAGCAACGAAATTTGAATTTTCATTTTCGCTGTCAGAGTCATCACTAAGTGTGGTGACGTAGGTTTTGGTCTT